TCAGTCTTACTTGACAAATTCCTGTCCGATAAGTAGCAGGATATTGTAGACAGAGAAACTCAAGGCACTTTGCCATTTGGTAATGAAAGGGAGGGCAGAAGATTTTAGGGAACTACCTGTACCCCTAAAACCAGGCCAAACCAAAAACACAAACTCATGTCTAATGTGTCCAGTGGTCCTAGTCAAAGACTTTGTATAACCACTAAAATTGCCAAATGATTTTAATAAAACTGGATTTGAATACAATTCAAAGTTGTCTTTCTGTTTAACTTGATTGGAATTTCATTTAATTCATACTTTCTTAGATTTCGATGGGATACCAAAAGCATGCAAAAGATGCTTTTATGAGATAAGGTGTTGAGAGGGCCAAAAAAAAAAAAAAAAGCATTCAAAGCAGCTTACCTTTTTGTGCTTCACATGCCTTCACTAAATGGCCAGAGATACCAAGTCCAGGGCCTCTGGCCCCTGTGTGGTTGGCCAATATGAGCAGTTTTGCCTGAAAATAATGTGTGGGTCTGTCTGTGTTTCAATGGGAATTGTTCCCAGCATTTAAAAATAAGAGATTTCATAGAACAACGTGTAGATTTCTAGCTTCTTGAAAATTTGACGTCCCTGCATTGCATTTTTTTTTTTTAAAGATTTTATTTATTTATTTGACAGAGAAAGACACAGCGAGAGAGGGAACACAAGCAGGGGGGAGTGGGAGAGGGAGAAGCAGGCTCCCCGCCGAGCAGGGAGCCCGATGCGGGACTCGATCCCGGGACTCCAGGATGATGACCTGAGCCAAAGGCAGTCGCTTAACCGACTGAGCCACCCAGGCGCCCCTGCATTGCATTTTCATTGATGTCAGCTGGGCTCAGATCTGCCCCTTCCAGTGGGGCTACCGCTCCCGTCTGGCCCACCGTCCAGCTTGCTGGTTTGTCCTGTTGATGTTACCTACAAAGACCGCATATGTATTTTGAGTTCGCTGCTCCAACTTCCGGCAGTCATTTTAGGAAGACCTGTCATAATCTTGGAATTGATTATTTCCAGAAACTTACTCAGAAAGTAAAGTCCTTTGAAGGTGGTTCTATGTAGACCGTTGCTTGGTTGTTGACACCATCTTGTAGAATTATTTATATCTTTATGACATCTTTGTTTCCCTCTCATCTTTGAGAAGGATGGTAACCCCTTCCTGAGTGCTTACTACATGGTAGGCATTGTTACAAGTTGTTTAGAGGTACTAACTTCTGGGAAATTTCTTCATGTATTAGGTCATGTGTCGCTGCTCCTTTACATACTGCTGCTTTGACACCTTTTACCACAGACTTAGTGGCTTAAAGCAACACAGATTTATTTTCCTGGAGCTCCATGGGTCAGAAGTCTGTTTCACAGCATTAAAATCGAGATGTCGGCAGGCCTGCATTTCCTTTCTGTGAGTTCTGTGTCGAATCTGGTTTTTTGGGTGTTTTCTTTTTTTTTAAGATTTTATTTATTTATTTGACAGCGAGAGAGGGAACACAAGCAGGTGGGGAGCGGGAGACCGAGAAGCAGGCTCTCCGCCGAGCAGGGAGCCCGATGTGGGGCTCGATCCCAGGACCCTGGGACCATGACCCGACCCGAAGGCAGACGCTCAACAACTGAGCCACCCAGGCGCTTTCCCCAGCTTCTAGAGACTGCCCACATTCCTGGCTCGGGATCCCCTTGTCCATCTTCAAGCCAGCAATGGCAGGCTGAGTCCTGTATGTCTGCACTCTGAGCTGTTCTTTGCTTCTCTTTGCTCCTTGGAAGGACTCAAGCAACTAGAAACCATCTGTGTCTCTACACTACGCTTCTATCTGTAAAGTCTCGTGGTGTGTGAGCTAATATATCATAGGTTCGGGGGGTCAGGATGAGGATGTCTGGGGGTCATTCTACCACCGTCTACCCTCTTGCTCCCAGAGAGCCAGGTCCATCCCATATGCAAAGTAGATTGACCCCACCCCAAGGTCCCCAAAGTTTCCACCACAGTGTCAACTGAAAGTCCAAAATTTTGCCCAAATCTCAACTCAAGAAGTCCCAAGTCTCCTCATTTAAGTTAGGTATGGGTAAGGCTCTATTATAATCCATCTGGGACACCGTTGTTCCCCATATTTAGAACTGTTAAGCACTTACCAAATTTATCTGGCCAAGAATAAATGAACCTAGGATTTGACCCCAAGCAGCTTCCTTTAGAACTCGTTCTCTTTATACTTAGGTCTTTCAGGTAAGAGCAATCTGGGCCACATCCAATTTTTGTGTTTCCTACTGTATTAAAAGAAAAAAGATGGTAAATATTTTATATATATGATATAAGTGTTTAATAGATAGTTTTAACACACAGTTTGGCAAATAATGGCCAAATCTAAATTTGAGGATCGTTCTGCATCTGAGGCTCAGTCAAAAAGGCCACTCTGGCATCTGTGGCCATCGTGGGCGTCCTGCCCACCCTGATCTCTGAGGTTTGCCTAGTTGTCTGTCATCCACGACCATTAAGAAGGAGCAGACATGCTTCTCCTCCAGGAGCTCCAAGTTCTCTTGGCTCGATGAGATGTTGACACAGATGGTGAGGCAGTGAAGCCATCAGGGGCCCAAAAGGATTTTGTAGGAAGAGAAGGAACATTGAGGGCTGGAATCGTGCTGGTTGCTGAAAGATGAATGGGATATGAAGAGGGTAAGGACTTTAGTGTTGAAGAGGAAGAGGAAGGAGCCCTGTGTGAGGAGTCCGTGAAAGGCAGGGCTGGCTGTTGGGCCCCGGACACCCTCAGCGTTCAGGACCTCCCATCTCCTTGGCAGCTTGAGGTGCTGCACGGCCTGTCCCCTCTGCCCAGTGTGCCCTTGTCCCCACTCTTTCCATGGCTGCCTCTTCTTGGCCTTCAGGAGTCAGCTCAAGTGTTATCCCCAGAAAGAAATTCCCCACCCACCTTATAGAAAAGCAAACATCCGGCCACTCTCCATCCGATTTCACTGAAGCATTTAGGAGTATCTGAAAAGGGTCCTACCTCTTTTCACTCCTTAGTTGTCTAAATCTTACCAAGAGGATGGGAGCCCCATAGGGCGGAGACATTGTTTCATTCACAGCCTTATCCTGAGCACTTAGACCTGAACAGAGCAGGTCCTCGGTACCAATTTATGAAGTGAATGAGAAAAGCTCTCAATGTCCTCATGTGACAATTCTACATTCATGTACCTTTGTGCTATGGTCCTTTTCCCTTGTCACCAAATCACATGTGTCATATTATTTTATATTAAGTATGGAAATTCTGAGGGTCATGTTTTTAAGCCAGAGACTTCTTTCATCGGGCCCATGTCAGTGGCTTGTCTTTTGGTGTGGGTTCATCGATCACGTATGTAGACAAACCAGTTGATGAAGGAAGAGCTTTTATATGTGTTTCGTGGGAGGGGGCAGCATTAATGATTCCATTTAGCAATGGTGCTTAAGACTTTTTTTTTTTTTTTTACTGGCTCAAAGAGCACTTTGAAAATCGGAATGCTCAAGTTCAAGGCCAACACACCACAAATTGGCATACAATTTCAGAAAAGACTTCTGGACCCTCCCAAGGTCCCTGAGAGCCCCGGTTAAAGAACCCTGTCTTATGTGAGCCAAAGCACATGGACAGTGGTGGCCATTTCAGGTCATTTTTGGAGCAGGGAGGGCATTAGCAAGCTAGGCTATTAGTTAACCTTTTAAAAGTTACAAAGGGGTTTCCAGGAAACATCAGAAACTGGTGCTACCTTGTCCCAGGCATGTCCACCTATTTCACAAGGTCTGTTCTCTGTGTTTCTAACAACACAAAGGACACTTCAGACTTTCACAACTTTACGGATCCAGTTGGTAGATGTGTCCTTTAGAAAGTGTGTATGGGAAAATAATACATAAATAAAAATTTTTTTAAAAATTAAAAAGGGATACGGGATAGTGAAAGAAGACAGACACACAACAAATATTGTATGATTCCACTATTATGTAAGGTACCTAGACTAGGCCAATTCATAGAGACAGAAAGTAGACTGGAGATCCCAGGGGAAGGGAGGAGGGGGGAGGGAGAGTTAGTGTTCCGTGGGTGTAGAGTTGGAGGTCATGAAAATGATTTGAGTGTAGATAGTGGTGATGGGTATACAACATTGTGAATGTTGTATCTGGTGTCACTAAATTGCACATTTGTGAATGGTTAAAATGATAAATATTATATATTTTTTTTCCATAATTCCAAATATTTTTCCTGGCGAAACTTATAAAATGCCCCATCATGAAATAGGGGAAGGGGAGTAAGAGTATACTTATCATGAAACAGAACAGATGAACATAGGGGAAGGGGGAAAAACAGAAAAAGAGAGGAAGGCAAACCAAAAGAGAGTCTTGACTGTAGAGAACAAACTGAGGGCTGATGGAGGGAGGAGGGTAGGGGGATGGGCTAGATGGGGGATGGGCATTAAGGAGGACACTTGTTAGGATGAGCACTGGGTGTTGTATGTAAGTGATGAATCACTGAAGTCTCCTGAAACTTGTACTACACTGTATGTCAACTAACTAGAATTTAAGTAAAAACTTGAAACAAACAAAAAAGAGTATACTTATCATGGCAGACAGTGGAGAGGTTGTTGCTGGGGAGAAGACGATGAAGGAGTGGGTTTTAAAAAAAAAGTTACACGTATCATGATGAGCACTGAGTAATGTATAGAATTGTCAATCATTGTATTGTACACCAGAAACTATGTTAGTTATATTTGACTATACTGAACTATATGTTAATTATACTGATTTTTTTTTTTTAAGATTTTATTTATTTATTTGACAGAGAGATAGCAAGGGCAGGAACACAAGCAGGGGGAGTGGGAGAGGGAGAAGCAGGCTTCCTGAGGAGCAGGGAGCCCGATGCGGGGCTCGATCCCAGGACCCTGGGATCATGACCTGAGCCGAAGGCAGATGCTTAACAACTGAGCCACCCAGGCGCCCCTATACTGATTTTTTACATTTTTAAATTATTTTTATTATTTTTTATACTTGAATTTTTTTAAAGATTTTATTTTTAAATAATCTCTAGACCCAACTTGGGGCTCAAACTCACAACCCCAAGGTCAAGAGTCGCATGCTCTACTGACTAAGCCAGCCAGGTGCCCCTCTTCTTGAATTTTAAAAAACCCATCACTTCAAAGATAGAAAGCTTTACAGATAGACTCATGGGTGTTCCCCAAGGAAAGCTGCAATATTTTTTTTTTTCATTCAAGATTTTATTTAAATTCAAGTTAGTTCACATACAGTGGAGTATTAGTTTCAGGAGTAGAGCAATTCATCAGTTGCATATAATACCCAGTGCTCATCACATCACGTGCCCTCCTTAGTGCCCATCCCCCAGTTACCGCATCCCTACACCCCCCTCCCCTCCAGCAATCCTCAGTTTGTTTCCTGTAATCAAGAGTCTCTTATACTTTGCCTCCCTCTCTGCTTTGTCTTATTTTATTTTTCCTTCCCTTCCCTATGTTCATCTGTTTTGTTTCTTAAATTCCACATATGAGTGAAATCATAGGGTATTTGTCTTTCTCTGAAAGCTCCAATATCTTAAAAAATAAACCAAAGTGGGGTGGGGGGAATGTGTACGTGTGTATGTGTGTGTCTGTGTGTGTGTGAAGAGATGAAACATACTGTCATAGAAAACACAAACAACATAAAAAGCATGTGGTAAAGACCATTCTTCCCATTCCTGCCCCCAGGCTCTCTCTTTCCCTTTCTAAAAGTAACCTATGTTACCACTCTCTATGTTTGCTTATTTATTTATTTTTATCATTTATAAGTAGGGTAACAGTCTGAAGTCCAGGCTGTGCATTTACAAGGAGAGCTTTCCATATAAGAATGCCAACACTTCCTTCTCTCTTTCCTACTGATGGGGTCATGGTTTTCTATTGTATGAATGTACCATGGTTTAGCTCATCGTTGGTGGATTTTGATATGATTTCCAGACTTCTACAGTTACCAACAATTCCAATGAATAACCGTGTGCAGAATGTCATTTCACAAGTATCAGTTGACACATTTTGTTTTTACAAAACCAACAAGATAACTCAGCCCCCCGGAAATGACGGAACAGCACCAAGTCAAGGTCAACTACGCTGGCTGAAGAGTAACCCTCCCGTGCAGGACCTGTCACCTGATGTCACCGCTTTTCATTTTAGTGTTTCCTCCCTGTTCATTGGTCAGATGCATTCATGGGAAGCCTCTAGTGCTTCCAGAAGCTTGATGCTCACAGAGATTACTTATCACAAGCAAGAAAGCCCAGGGAAAACCCACATGTTCCTGAGAAAAATGAATGATTTAGTCACGGTCAATTTAGAATTCTGCTCCTGCTCCACAGGAGAGCTGATGCTTTCCTGATGTTGTCCTTGTTGTCGCAGAGCTTTTTGGGTAGTGAAGATGGGAGAAGATGTGGTAGCTTCGAAACATGCCTCACAGTTGCTTAATGGGGGGCATTTTGTTTGTTTTTCAAGTAATTCACAAAAAGACATAAAGGAACTGTGAGAGACTCAGATCTACTGAATGTGGTTCCGAACACTGATTTAAGCCTAAATCAGTGGTCTGAGGGACATCCTTAAACAAGCTCAGGAAGTGATTGTTTAAAATATTTATATTTATGTATCCATACACTATGGTGATATGTATGATGTTTACCCAAAAGTGCAATCAGAAAAATTCCTTGCACGGGAGTGGTCGAAGTATTATAGAACTAGAAATTAATGCAGTTGAGGACTGGTCAGCCTTCAATGCCAAAGAGCCCTCCCAGCCATGCCATACCTAAGACAAGAAGTGTCATTACAGCTATAGATCACTGCAATGCACCTTTCAAAAAGACGGCTCTTGTATGCGTGTAAGTTTATGCAGGATTCATCTAACTGATAAACATAAAATAATGAGATTGTGCCATCACGAAGATAAAATGTACTGCAGTGAGCATTTGTCCAAACAAGTCTTATTATAAATGAAACCAAGCAGGTGAGGTTAAGGTTGACCAGTATGCCCGAGCAATGTCATGCTTGTGCAGGTCCACACATGGGAGCTGAGACTCGGGAATTCTGTAAGCTGATTGGTAGATGAAAACTGATCAAAACGGGAGTGTTTACACTGTGGGAATCTGTCAGTGCTGTAAATCAGGGTAGTTCTCTTCCCCCAAAGACCCTGTTCAACATTTGCTGACATACTACTGTATCTAAGGTCGTTCAGCCAATTCAAAATAAAGACAAGTTTTGCCTGGACTATGTAAGTATGCACTTTCACCTTTTTGTTTTTATTGCGCTTTTAAATTTTTAAATTGCATTTAAATGTTTAAATCAAACATTATTTTCACTTCAGAGAAATCCTTTAAGGTAAGGCAGGAATATTGTTTCTCCCCACCCCATTTCAGAGATGAGGACATTTAGGCACAACGGAGATGAAATATTTTGCCCAAGGACGCACAGCTAGGTAATGGAAAAACTAAAACAGACGGTTCTGCTCAGGACACGTTGGACCTCTGGCAAAAGAGAAAAACTATTGAGCAAGGACAGAAAATCAACAAGGTGCCCCACGCAATGGTGACCCTATGACTTTCCTGCCTAAAATCTGTTAACTGGTTGTGATGTCGTAGTTTAAAAAAAAAAAATGCTGTTGAGGTACTTAGTCTGGATGGGCCAGTGAAGGGTCTTCTCTGTCCCAAGTGGATCCAATGAGTTATTATGTCATAGCAAAGATTGGGACTGGGCTGTGCTTTATTCTTATTTAGGGTTATAATTTTTAGGGCTATGTTCATAATGAGACCCTATGGCACCAGATCAGGATTCCAGGTTGTTTCCATTAAGACTCGTTCAAACACAAAAAGTAAAAAAATAATAATAAATGAATAAATATATAAATAAATAAGACTCGTTCAAATGCAATTGCCTAAATGTAACCCACACAGACTTGAATAAAACAAGGCCATGTAACTGTGAAGTCCAGGGGATATTCAGGCAAGGGTGGATCAAGGGATCCAAACTGATTTTTAGATCTCTGTTTTGCACTATTTTGCACTCTCTATTTTTTAACTCTTAAGTCTACCCTTGTGGCATAAATATCTCCAGGCTTACAACTTCAATTTCAATTTCGGTAGGATAAAGGGTTATTTCTTCATAGTCTCTCTGTAGTAGTTAAGGGATCCAGCTACATGGGCTCTGATTGCATCATATGCCCATCCCTGACCCATTTGCTAGGGTATGATCTCTGCCCTGGCTTGAGTCATGTGTTTGCCTCTGGAGTCAAGGCTGGAGTCACCAAATCAAATGCATTGGTGTGGGGGTTGAGGTCACCAAAGAAAATTAGAATTCTGTTATGAGAAGAAAGAAGGAAGAGGAGACTACATGGTAGGCAGAAAATGAACAGATTTCCACTACATAGGAGCTCGATAGATATGTGTTGAATTTATGAATGTAAGAATGAACAAAAGATCATAGCTACTAAATCATCATCACCTTTTTACCCCTGATAATACCATTTTAAACAATGCAAGACTAGTCATTTTTCTTTCTCTTCTTTTCCTGGTGAAACTTAGAAAACACTCCATCGCTCCAAAACAGAGGACTTTGCAAATAGACTCATGGGTGTTTTCCAAAGAAAGCTGCAATATCTAAATATCTTCCATCAAGCCCATAGCAAAATTATTCCACCAAATTACAGTCTTGTGTAATAGGAGGTAAGTGGGCTTTTTTCCATTGTCCCAGAATCCGGCTAAGTCTTAAGGCTGAAAACGAAAGGTATCAAGTACCCTCATATTCTAAAGAGGACAGACACAAGTCACTAAGACGTTGGGGTCAGGCATTTCTGTTCAAAGCTTGTCCGGTGTTGGCAGATCCTGCTGTCCTAGCAGCAACCCTATCCCATCTACTCCCCAGTCTACATAAAATAAGGCGGAGGAGCTGCGAGTCTTTATACTGCCATTGTGAATTGGTCAAAGCACTCTTGGGAATGTTCATTGGAATGTTCAATGTTCTTTGGGAATATTCATTCCCAAACTAGGACTGCAATAAGGCTCTTAGAAACATGTCTGCCTTCAGCTCAGGCCATGATCTCAGGGTCCTGGGATCAAGCCCTACATCGGGCTCCTTGCTCAGTGGGGAGTCTGCTTCTCCCTCTCCCTCTGCTGCTCCCCCACTTGTGCTCACTCTCTCTGTTAAATAAATAAAATCTTTTAAAAAGAAAGAAAGAAAGAAAGAAAGAAAGAAAGAAAAAAAGAAAGAAGAAAGAAAGAAAGAAAGAAAGAAAGAAAGAAAGAGAAAGAAATAGAAAGAAAGAAGAAAGAGAAGGAACACATCCCAGCTCCTGTTGTGACCACACTTGCCTCTCACCCACCCACAATAGAACCGAGCCTTCCATTCAGATCTCAGGCATCCCTGAGTTTTGGCCAGATCACACCTTCCTACCTCACTGGCTTTGTTCTCCTGTCCCTTGCCTAAAATGCACCTTGCCCCAGTACCCTGCCTTCTGGGAGAAATAGCAACTCCTCTCCAAGTTGATACTCCCCTGTTCAAGGATCATGTCTTCCAGAAGGTCCCCCCATGGGAGGGAATCTCTCCATTTCTGGGATTCCATAGAATTTCACTTTCACTTTCTGGTAGCTGTTGAACGTTCAGCTCTGCTACAGGAATTTGTGTTTGATCTACTACCAGATAAAAGGCTCCTGAGGGCTGGACAGCCCCTAAGGCAGAGCCTTATTCAGTGGACCCCAGCTTGTTCTTCTTGTATTGAGTTGTAGCAAGACAATTTTTTTTAGAATATTAATTTGTGTCTTACTTATGCTACTTTAGAGAAATCAGAAAGAATACCAGGCACTGTTTTGTTTTGTTTTGTTTTCTGATTGTATTTTACCTCCCTCATTCCAAGAAAGCAGTTGCCTTTGAAAACTCTTGCCTCAGGGGCTAAAGAAGTAGCTTCTGAACAACCTCTCCTCTTGGCCTTTTTCTCCCCCTAAAGCCTAAACCGATTGAAGAGATGATGGTGGGTGTTCAAGGGTAGAGTAGGCTGGGGAGGCAGGCTCTTTAGAAGTGCTTTATGGCTGGTAGCTGAATGGAAAGGATGTGGTTCTCTGGAAAACAGTTTGGAGGTTCCTCAAAAAGTTGAAAATAGAGCTACCCTATGACCCAGGAATTGCACTACTGGGTATTTACCCCAAAGATACAAGTGTAGTGATCCGAAGGGGCACCTGCACCCCAATGTTTATAGCAGCAATGTCCACAATAGCCAAATATGGAAAGAGCCCAGAAGTCCATTGACAGATGAATGGATAAAGAAGATGTGGTTCATACATACAATGGAATATTATGCCGCCATCAAAAAAAATGAAATCTTTCCATTTGCGATGGTGTGGATAGACCTAGAGGGTATTATGCTAAGTGAAATAAGTCAATCAGAGAAAGACAGTTATATGATCTCACTGATATGAGGAATTTGAGAAACAAGGCAGAGGATCATAGGGGACGGGAGGGAAAAATGAAACAAGATGAAACCAGAGAGGGAGACAGACCATAAGAGATTCTTAATCTCAGGAAACAAGCTGAGGGTTGCTGGAGGGGAGGGATGGAGTAGCTGGGTGATGGACATTGGGGAGGGTATGTGCTATGGTGAGCGCTGTGTATGGCATAAAACTAATGAATCACAGACCTGTACCCCTGAAACAAATAATACATTATATGTTAATAATAAGAAAATTAAAAAAAAAGATATGTCATTTGCAAATATCTTCCCATTAAAAAAAAAAAAAAAAGATGTGGTTTCTTTACAGGGGTAGGACCTGTGCTTCATTCCCTAGAAGTATTTCAAAAAAGAGTAGGTCTGTGGTGCACCTAAGAAGGCCAGACTCTAGGAACTAGTGTCTCCAGCCATGGCACAAAGCAGGATCATTCCTGGGACTATACAGATTTAAGCAATAAGCCTATCAGTGACAACCAAGATGAACTGAAGCCTAGAGATACTTAGTCCATCAGCATTCACATTCTTGAATTCTTCTGTCATCCTGAGAGGGAAGGGAGCTCCCTCCAATAAAAATTAAAAGCCTGGTAGGATATTGGCCAAGAGTTGGAATTCATTTGATCTATAAAAAAATAAAATAATACAGCTTTCAATGTTAGCTAAGATCTTGGCTATTGAACCGAATGCTGAATCAAAAAGGAATTTTCTCTAAACTGGGATCAGATTCATTGACTTGCACTGCACTGGACCCCAGGGTAAGAATCTGCTAAGAACACCTCAGTTTTTAATCCAGAAAAAGTTCAAGTCATGAGCAAAAGAGTGCAGACAGATAGTATAAGAATAGAGGATGATCCGAAGGGGTACATGCACCCCGATGTTTATAGCAGCAATGTCCACAATAGCCAAAGTGTGGAAAGAGCCAAGATGTCCATCGACAGATGAATGGATAAAGAAGATGTGGTATATATACACAATGGAATATTACGCAGCCATCAAAAGGAATGAAATCTTGCCATTTGCAATGATGTGGATGGAACTGGAGGGTATTATGCTGAGTGAAATAAGTCAATCAGAGAAAGACATGTATCATATGACCTCACTGATATGAGGAATTCTAAATCTCAGGAAACAGACTGAGGGTTGCTGGAGTGGTGGGGGGTGGGAGGGATGAGGTGGCTGGGTAATAGACATTGGGGAGGGTATGTGCTATGGTGAGTGCTGTGAATTGTATAAGACTGTTGAATCACAGACCTGTACCTCTGAAACAAATAATGCATTATATGTTAAAAAAAAGAAGAAGAAGAAAAAGATAGCAGGAGGGGAAGAATGAAGGGGGGAAATCAGAGGGGGAGATGAGCCATGAGAGACGATGGACTCCGAAAAACAAACTGAGGGTTCCAGAGGGGAGGGGGGTGGGAGGATGGGTTAGTCTGGTGATGGGTATTAAAGAAGGCAAGTTCTTCATGGAGCACTGGGTGTTATACGCAAATAATGAATCATGGAACACTACATCAAAAACTAATGATGTACTGTATGGTGATTAGCATAACATAAAAAAAAAAAAAAAGAATAGAGGATGGTGTCACTCAGGGATCAGGTAAGCCCCTGCAAGCTGTGGAGCTAAGAGATGCACTTTGGCTTCCTTCTGCAAGTGTGCATTTTGCATTATGGCAGCTCATAAAATAGTCATTCTTGGTCCTTGGCAGGCAGCAGGCACTTGCCAGAGGTTCCAAATGCACATCATCATCATCCACAAATAACCACAATGGTTAAATACTTCCTATAAACGTGTGACACATGGAAGCCTTCCAATTTTTCTCAGGTAGGAGATGAATAAATGTTACGGAATGCCCTGGGATTTTTTAGAACTTTGATGACAAAAAAATTGGGAAAAAGTATGATTTAAAGTTGTAAGCCATTGGGCGCCTGGGTGGCTCAGTGGGTTAAGCATCTGCCTTTGGCTCAGATCATGATCACAGGGTCCTGGGATCGAGCCACGCATTGGGCTCCCTGCTCAGCAGGGAGCTTGCTTCCCCCTCTACCCCTCCTCCCTGCTTGTGCTCTCTCTCTCTCTCTCAAATAAATAAAATCCTTAAACAAAAAAACAAAGTTGTAAGCCCTTTCTGAATGACTTTTGGGAAAAACGAACTCTTTGTTCTTGGAAAAATATGTCACAGTCTTTGAATAACATAAATATAAACCGAGGAACCAAGGAGACCCCACCCCTTTCTTTTGGGAACCCTGAGATGCCACTGTTCGTCTCTATACAGATGTTGAAATAAATAAGCTAAGTGCTCTGGGCGATCATATGAATAGGATGTATGTCTCCACGGACTTTGTCGTTACTTTGGAATAAGTGGATCTTTTCTCTGTATGGGTGGTGTGTGTGGTCAAGCTGGGGCCCACAGAAGACTAGTTGAAGAGACTGGTGGGAGACACGAGATAGCTTCATGGTCCCCTTCCTCTGCAGAAGAGACTTGGGAAGGACCGGCTTAGAACAATCATGCAGGTGACCTTCTGTCGGTGGTGATCAAGACCTGTTGAGTAAGGTATTGCCGTTGGGCCATTTGCTGTTGTGAGTGTCTCTGGCCACTCACATCTGGAGGCAGGGGGTGGGGGACAAGCTGGGGCAGCCTTTCCTCTCAGTCATTCTGGGAAGAGGCGGATTCTGGCTGAAGCAAAGAGGAGGTGGGCTATGAGAAGGGGGTGGAAACTCCTTCCTTTTCCCCAGCAGACGTTGCAAAATGTGATGCCAGTCTAGGATTTTTGTAGTGGGGGCAGGGCGATTCCCTCCAGGTGGAAGCAGGAGGCAGCCCTTTGGGGGATCCCAGAGCACATCTGAGCTCTCAGAGAAGCCACATCAAGCAGGACTATGAGGCTCTGCATTATACAGAGTTCATTTCATTGTACCCAACCCCTCAGAGATGTCTTCATTTCTACTTAGTCATTGCGGGGCTGTGAGCGATCGAGGGAAGGTTCGAGTTGGACTCCCAAAAGGGCTTGATATCTCCTCTCTGAGGCCAGAGTTGGGGACACAGTGATGAGTCCAAGGACGCGTCATCCCCAAGAATCACTGGCAACAACATTAAGCAAGACAGCAAGAAGAACAAAGAGGGCTTGTTGCACATGCATGAGACAGCATCCTGCACATCCCTTTTTTTTTTTTCTAAGATTTATTTATTTGAAAGTGAGAGAGACAGACACAGACAGACAGCACCTGGGAAGGGCAGAGGGAAAGGGAGAGAGAGAGAGTCTCAAGCAGACTCCATGTTAAACACAGAGCCGGATGCGGGGCTTGATCCCAGAACCCCGAGATCATGACCTGAGCCAAAACCAAGATTCGGACACTTAACTGACTGTGCCACCCAGGTGCCCCACGTCCTGCACATTCTTCAACGTGCCTGGGGATTGCTTTGCAAAGACTAGAGTCTGAGATCATGCTGGTGGGGTCTGGAATCTTCTTCATGAGAATATTAATAGAAATGTGATTATCTAAGGTTATGGTTGCAGGCCTTTGAGAGCTTCTGTGGGCTTACAGCCTGAGCAGCATCTCCTGGTGAGGAAGGCCACCTGGCCAAGCAGCTGTCATCCTCTGTCTCTGGGTCCCACCTTCTTCTGAGACTTTTCCACCCCAATTCCTGCTGCCACCTCCCAGCCTGGCCCCAGGGAATGCTTCTCCCCCTCTTCAGCACTTTGGCCTGAGCAAGGATCAAGCTACTCTCCTTAGATCTCTTGAGCATGGAATTATCTCAATACTAAAAGAAGTCAACTCATACTCAAATAAATTTTAAATTTGAAACAAATACAGAACTCTAATTATTAAAAAAGGCTGAATTGCTTTAGGCTATATGTTTTTAATTTTTCAGAACAAAATATTGGCCAAAATACATGATTAAAAAAAGATATAAATAACACAAAGTTTTTCAATATGCAGATCCAGATCCCACCGTAACTTCACTCCAGTGCTGGGGGCAATTCCACACATATCTCTGAATTCTTTGTCTACACTCCAGCCTGTCTCTATGGACCAAATGCCATCATATTCTCTACCATACTACAGTGGTGTTTTGAATGCCTTATTCTCTCTTTTATCCCAGTCACCCACCTTGGTGGCTCCCCACCCTTTCTCATGTCCATCCTGAAGGACAGGCTTTCTTCAGAGTTGATCAACAATTCAGAGTAGACTGACAGAGGAATGGCTATACAGATCCACAATACCACAAACAATGGCAGAGTTGTAGCATATTCTTACCACAGTTATAGAAAATTTTTTTTTAAAGATTTATTTTTAAATTTATTTTAGAGCGAGAAAGAGAGCACATGACCAGGAGGGGCAGAGGGAGAGAGAATCCCAAGTAGACCCCATGGGGAGCTGAGCACAGAGCCCAATCTCAGGACCCTGAGATCACAACCAGAGCCGAAACCAAGAGTCAGACGCTTAACCAACTGAACCACCCAGGCGCCCCAGTTAGACACATTTAGTAAGAGGAAGACAGTTTCTCTTATCCCCTGCCACTCTGTGTGGCTGATTGTGCTTTCCAAAATGGCTACAGCAAAATTTGGGGGCCCACATGCTCTTCCAGAACGTATTCCTATTTCCCCTCCCCAAACGGAGGTAGGGCTTGTGAATGAACAGAATGTGGCGGAAGTGATACCCCACATGATTTCCAAAGCTAGAATACCCTCTCTACTTGCTTGCTTGCGCACTCTCTCAACACACTCACTCTTGGAAGCCATCCACCATGCTTCAAGGAAGCTCAAAGCAGCCCATGCAGAAAGACCACATGGAGATGCCCAGGTGAACAGGAATTGAGTCCCTCCCCCCCCAATAGCCAGCATAAACTATGAGCTATGTCAGTGATTGAGCTTCCAGATGATTCTTGGTACCATAGAGCAAAGAAAAAGCACCCCCTCTGTGCCCTGTTGGAATCCGTGACCCTCATAATTATGAGCATCACAAAAAGCTGCTTTACACCATGACATTTTGGGGTAACTTGTTACCCAGCCGTAATTCCTAGAACATGCTAGTAGATTGGATACACAGATAGTGACTGAATCCATATTTATTTTCTTCATAGAATTTATACTCCCCTATTTCTGAGATTCCTTTCATGGCTGCACACAATGTGGGAGTTTCAGGGGCCCTGAGTTTGGACCAGTCCAGAGATATTCTTAGGAGTCAGACATACAGAGTTGGAAAATACCAATTTTGTTACTGGTATGTTCATTGGTAAATATGGCTTGAAAACCACGGCCAAGTGGGTTTGCTAATATCTCGCTCCTCAATTAGACAAGGTCACTCACCCCTAGGTACTGGCCCAGCAGAATAATTGTAGACCTCCTCCCCACTTCCATCCCCCCAACCCCGAGCCGAGCCACGTAGACCCCTTGTTGCAAGGCAGGGAAGCCTTTCTAACGCTGAGAAAGGGGCTCAGTGGGCATGCCCAGTTCCTTTTCCCAGCTCACCAATCAGACCACTCCCTCCTCCTGCTAGCAGAATTAGGGGTGGGGAAAAACAGCAACAGGGCTAGCTCCCCAGAGCAACTTCCACGTGGGAGCGTGACTGTCATACCTCTCAGTCAGATTACTATGAAATATTATATTTCTTAAGTTTTTCTACTTTAGCTTTGTTCTAAGCAAACACTCCCATGAAATCAGGGATTCTATGGGCTAATTATATATTTATTCCAATATACATTAAAATAAGCACTCAACTATTAAAAATTGTCCGTGTGCCATTTAAAATAATTTCTCACATATCAGTGGCTGTATATCACACTTGAGGAAATGATACTATAAGAAACTGACACAGAACACCCCACAAAATGAGAATGAGTAAGTTCCAGCTCAGGCAGATACATAATTAAGTGTTTGATCAAAGACAAACATGACCCATGAAAATTGACATTAAATGAAAAAAATTAGAGAGGATTACATGTTACTATTTTTTTTTTCCCCAATAGCGTAATCCACAGGGAGGATGGTAGCAGAAGATTTATGAAGCAGGAACTGAAAATCATATGACATTAAAATGGGGTCTCCTGGGGGCGCCTGGGTGGCTCAGTGGGTTAAGCGTCTGCCTTTGGCTCAGGTCATGGTCCCAGGGTCCTGGGATCAAGCCCCGCATCGGGCTCCCTGCTCGGCGGGACGCCTGCTTCTCCCTCTCCTTCTGCCCCTCCCCCTGCTTGTGCTCTCACTCTGTCAAATAAATAAAATTTAAAAAAATAATAAAAATAAAAATAAAATAAAATGGGGTCTCCTAATTCTTCCTGTCATGCCAGCGTTGTGGGATGTTTCAAATGACTATGATTCTGGATGCTGAACCTTCATGTGTTTATGTGCCAACTGCTGTTCTATGAGTCTTTGAGGCAGAAGTTTGCTCTCCCTCACCCTTGGTAACAACAGCTGCTGCCCATTTTTTTTTTCTCTTCCCTTCTTCTTTGTCTCACTCCCAGAGCCCACAGGGGAGATGCCAGAGAGGGATGCCAGCCTGGAGTGCAGTCACAGAACCATAGCAGGATGGTGGTTAGACTGTTTTTGGTTGCTAATAGTAGTCTCTTAGGGCTGTTTCCATTTGAGAGTGATACCGGTTTGAAAGAGAAGATAATCTCCTTTCATCCTGACAGCCCACACTGGAATGTCCTCGTCACTTGGTTTCCCGACTCACTGCACAAAGAGGGAGAGCTCTGGAAGCCAGCCAGGCCATAGAAGTAAAAATCAGTGGTACCAGAGCTGGAAAATGCCCTCTTGTACCAACGACCTTTTTTTGCCAAGTTGAAGGTGAGGCTGTCGTTTCTGACCATTTCTTAGTCACTCTTCTGAAGCTTGTATCTCCTTTGACTTGCCTTCCCAGCTTATGCCAAACACAGATCTGTTCTGGGAGGAACGGAAAGAACACTTAGTCAGGAGCTGGGTTCTGACTTTGCTCTGCTACCAGCTTGTACTGGGATATTGGCTTCTAAGTTCTTCAGGCCTTGGTTTCCCCCTCTTTCGATTAAAGGAATTTTTTCATACTGAGCTCCATAGAACCGTAGGATCCCTGGATTTCCCCCAGACTTAATTAATTTATTTTTAAAGATTTTATTTATGTATTTATTTACGTATGTATGTATTTATTGAGTGTGTGAGTGGGGGGAGGGGCAGAGGGAGAGAGAGAACCCAAGCAGACTCAGTGCTGAGCAAGGAGCCCAATGTGGGCTTGATCTCATGACCCCAAGATCATGACCCAAGCTGAAATCAAGAGTTGGATGCTCAACCAACTAAGCCACCCAGGTGCACCTCCCCAGACTTAATTTAACGAGGGATTTAAAGATTTAATGAGGGGCGAAAGATAGGCTGGGAGTCTGGGATTAGCCTCCTCCCTGTAACACACACACACACACACACACACACACAACACACAACTCTGGGGCGCCAGGGTGGCTCAGTCAGTTAAGCGTCTGCCTTCAGCTCAGGTCATGATCCCGGGGTCCTGGGATCCAGCCCCACATGGGGCTCCCTGCTCAGCGGGCAGTCTGCTTCTCCCTCTCCCTCTGCCCCTCCCCTCTTACCCACTTGTGTGCTCTCTCTCTCTCTCTCACTCTGCTCTCTCACATAAATAAATAAAATCTTTAAAAACAAAACAAAACAACACCCAACTCCTCCAGCAACCAAACCAGCTTGGCTTTGAAATTTTACTTTATATCTTGGAATTCTAGGAATGGTTTTATTTGGTATGGGGAGAGAACTCACTGCTGATTTTTTTTTTTTTTAATCCATAGGACTTAAAAAGGTCTTTAAAGAGTCCTTTTGATCTCTGGTGTCTATGATTCCAGAAACCCTGAATAGATTCTACGGCACAAATCCTTCTTTGTGGGATTTTTTTTCTTTTGGTCCCATGCCATACCCAATTTTTATTAAGCTGAGGAGAAAGGATTCACTTCTGGGAAGCGTGTTGTATTTAGATCCAGAGGCAAGAGTGGGTGACATGGGCATTGTGACCACCAGTGATCACCAGGGAGCCAACTCAAGAGTCACTTAAGCCTACTCATCAGAGGACAATGGTCCATCCGATTCTGCTCAGTCTCCAGCAGAGTTACTGCTATCCCTCCATGTTACCCCCATCACAGTGATGTCCCTGATGAACCCCCTCAAGTTGTGGTGTGGACAAAGGCAACAGCCGGTGAGCAGTGGACCGCCAGGGCATTTAAAAAGGTACAGTTCCACTCTGAGAGGCATCCTATCGTCTCAAAACAAGATAAGATAATCCCTCTGAGTTCTTTCTCTCTGTCCCAGGACACCGCGCTATCACTCCAGCAACGAGGGCAGCAAACAAGGGAGACCTCCTCCCAGGTTAGGCAGCAGTGATCACGTTCAGCCACAGTAACGTGCTACCAGAGAGGCTGAGGCACCTGTGAGGTGGCGGGAGCAGACGAAGTTCTTTGGCCAGAGGGAATGAAGGACTGAAGGAGTGAATGACTTCCATGAATTGAAGGATCGGTAGGTATCCTTCCCATTCATGTGTAGAAATCAGGACAGTACGATGCAAAGAATTATCTGCTATCTCTGGACACGTTGGAAGGACACAAATGGCCCCTGCCCCAGAGCTGGGAAGTGCTTTGTCCTCCCCATCAAACACCTTCTCTGCAGAACACAGCCCAACAGCCATAAGCACTGACCTGACTTCTGGGCTAACTGGTGCCCACACCACTCTGATCATGTCCTGGCCAGTAGGACATCTAGCATCATAGGTGGCCCCTACGTTGGCTGTTTGGATTTCCACCAAGATAAAAAAAATATAGATAGCTACCACCCATATGTTAAAAAAACCCTGCTTATATATAATTAAAACTTTATGATGCAATAAACTTTGCCCAAATTTCAGGGAACTCTATTAAGAAACTAAACGTGTGATTAAATAAATTGCAGAAAGAAAGCCTGCTTTGGCAAAACCCAATTCAACAAATGAATTCATTGATTCACTTATTCAACAGACATCTATCGGCCCCTCTTAGGTGCCAGACGTTGTGTGAGAAGTTGCAGGAAATCCAGACAGAATACAGCTCCCATCCTGACCACATACACACGAAAAATATCGAACTAATAAGAATGATGTCATGACAGATATAAACCAAGCACTTTGGAAATTGAGAATGGGGAGGTCTTCTGTCCCAAGGATGGGTAGGAGTTTTACAGGTAGACATGGAGGATAGTATATTAGAGAGAGGACAAGTCTCACAACATTCCGAGTTGCATACATTTACTTGACCATTTAGGAAAATCGTGGATCCAATTGGACTACAGGGCAGGGTGGGAGTGGAAGGCTGAGGGAAGGAGCAGAAGACAAAGGCTGAGGACTTTGGGCTTAATTCTCAAAGCAATGGAGAGTGATCCAAAACGAATAGTTATGTGATCAGGGTATTAGGAAATTTGACCTGGTTCTTGGTGTGAGTGGGTTGGGGGAAGGAGGGAAGCGAAGAAGGCGGTAAGGCCATTTTAGAGGACCCTGCAGGAGTCTTGCCTGGGAGGTCTGGATAAGGAGTTGGCCGTGGAAACAGACAAGAGACAATGGATAGAGGAGCCAATTCTCAGGCTGAATCCTCAGACTTAGTTGTGGACTGGCTGGCGGAAGCAAGTAATGAGGTGACTGAACTCTTCACCAGGCTCCGGGGAGAAGGAAGCGGATGTATTTAGCACAAAGAAGTCAGGAAGAAACATATCTTGGGAAGATAAACTTGTTTGATTTGGGGGGGCTTCTTAGGGAAAGAGAATGAGTGAACTGACCTGCCTTCTATTTTTTTTTTTTTAAGATTTTATTTATTTGACAGAGAGAGACACAGCGAGAGAGGGAACACAGCAGGGGGAGTGGGAGAGGGAGAAGCAGGCTCCCCGCTGAGCAGGGACCCCCCCCCCCGATGTGGGGCTCCATCCCAGGACCCTGGGATCAGGACCTGAGCCGAAGGCAGACGCTTAACGACTGAGCCACCCAGGCGCCCCTGACCTGCTTTCTATTAACTCTCTTATCAAACAGAATTGCACAGCTGTTATCAGTAGAATAGAGCCTGAAGGGAAATGTGACTGAGGTAGAGGTGAGGGACATCTGTGCACCCACTGAAGGAATGGAAAATGCTTTACAGGGACAGTCTACTCTGTGTGATTTACCCAGATAAGAAAGTACAGATTCACTTAATTAGCTTTTCCATTTTATTAATGACTTTATTTTTTTTTTTTAATTTTACTAAGGTATAATTGATGGATACAATTGTAATATATTTAAAGTGTACTATAAAGGGCGCCTGGGTGGCTCAGTTGGTTAAGCGACTGCCTTCGGCTCAGGTCATGATCTGGAGTCCCGGGATCGAGTCCCACATCGGGCTCCCTGCTCGGCAGGGAGTCTGCTTCGTCCTCTGACCCTATCCCCTCTCAGGTGTTCTCTCTCTCTCATTCTCTCTCTCTCAAATAAATAAATAAAATCTTAAAAAATAAAAATAAAAAAAATAAAGTGTGCTATATGGGGGCGCCTGGGTGGCTCGGTTGGTTGAGCGTCCGATTCTTGATTTCGGCTCAGGTCATGATCTCTGGGTCTTGAGATCAAGCCCCATGCTGGGCTCCACACACAGCAGGGAATCTGCTTGAGATTCTCTCTTCCTCTGTCCCTCCCTCTGCTGTCTCTCTCTCTGTGTCTCTCAAATAAATAAATAAATAAATCTTAAAAAGAAATCTCCATGTGAGTCATTTTAAAGTTGGTTTTAACACTGCATGAAAATCTAGTTCTACTTATTTTGCTATGCCTTTTCTTCCTCCAAGATAGAAACTTGTCTGCATATTTTATTCAGCCATTATTTGAAAGAACGTCCAGATTTATTTTAAGATCAATGCAATTCAACTACTTTGGATTCTGGCGTGCTCTTTCTTGACCCATACCAGACCCTGGCAGGAATTCGCAGTGGTTTCAACTGGGAGAAAATAATTTGCCTTTATTTATTTATTTATGTATTTATGTATTTATTTATTTATTTATTTATTTCTCCCCGCTGAGCAGAGAGCCCACTGGGGGGCTAGATCCAGGACATTGGGATCAGGACCTGAGCCAAAGGCAGCTACCCAACCGACTGAGTCACCCAGGCGCCTAATTTGTCTTTAATTTATAGGTCTCACCATTAGTCTGGGAAGGTCAAACCTAACTTCGTTTTTTTAAACTTCGAAATCCAAAATGGCTGGAAACAGAACTCTTTTATAAAGTAATTTTCACATAGTTTTTCCAGAATAGCCATAAAATAATCTCTCTTTTACTCCTTTTACCCTCACTCCACAAAATGTAAAGAAACTGATGAAGAAATTCATCTAAAGATATTTCAAAAATTCAAGCCAACAGAGATCCAGAAAGTCAGTCCAGTCTATCTCCTAGCCAGGAGGTGAAAGCCTACGGAAGCCTTGGGTCTCAGCATGAGAGGGTGGTTTCGGAATTGCTGAGCAAAGTCATATAGCAATGAGCTAGGGGCACCAGGGTGGCTCAGTTGGTTAAGCATCTGCCTTCAGCTCAAGTCATGATCCCAGGGTCCTGGGATGGAGCCCCGCATGGGACTCCCTGCTCAGCGGGAAACCTGCTTCTCCCTTTCCCTCTGCTGCTCCCCCTGCTTGTGCTCACTCTGTCAAATAAATAAATAAAATCTTAAAAAAAAAAAAAGAAAGAAAGAAGGAAGGAAGGAAATGAACTAAAGAAAGAAGGAAATGGAAACAAAGCCCCTGGCTAACCAGCGGGGCCTCCTGGACCCCCGGACTCCAGAGCATCTGTAGGCTGGGGGCATCCCAAGAAATAATAAAACCGATAATAAAAGTCAATATCCCTGCTGTAGGGCAGTTACTTCCGCCGGCCACTGGGTATTCACAATGGCATTCACCCTGTCCACAACAGCCCCGGGAGGGTGAGGGTGTGCTTTTCAATCTCATTTCACGGATAAGGACATCAAAGGCTCCAAGCAAGCTGCAAAGTGGCAGATTTATGATCCAGACCATTTGTCTGACTCCAAATTGTGTGCCTGCCCCTCCAGCCTGTTTTTCTCACACACTTGAGCGGGAGGCCCGCTAAGACTCCTGGCTGTGGGCTGAGCTGTTCAGAAGCTGAGCTCTTGCGCATAGAACTGAGACTCCACATTCTTCTGGCCAAGGGTTGTTCGCTTTAGAAGTTCTTACTTTTCCATTTTGCTGAAGGTTATTTTCTACTTTCTCCTGCTCATAGCAGAATAACTATTTTTCTACCGTTATATGAAAACAGGCTAAGGATTCTGTTGCCCTTCTGCTAATCCTCCTGATGTTTTTGCTTCCTTACCCATTGGCGGCGAGCTTTCAAATGCTAATCTTTCCCTGTCTCCCACTCTCTCCAAATTGCTGCTTGTTGAGCTCCTTTGGTAACTACTATTGTGTTTTCTCAGACTCTTGGTCTCAGGGTCGTGGGATCAGGGCTCCACGCTGGGTATGGAGCCTGCTTCAGATTATCTCTCTCTCTCTCTCCCTCCCCACCTAAATAAATAAATAGTCTTTTTTATTTTATTTTATTTATTTATTTGACAGAGAGAGAGACATTGAGAGAGGGAACACAAGCAGGGGGAGTGGGAGAGGGAGAAGCAGGCTTCCCACTGAGCAGGAAGCCCAATGTGGGGCTCGATCCCAGAACCCTGGGATCATGACCTGAGCCGAAGGCAGATGCTTAACGACTGAGCCACCCAGGCGCCCCTAAATAAATAAAATCTTAATAAAAAAAAGATTTAGGGGCGCCTGGGTGGCTCAGTTGGTTAAGCAACTGCCTTCGGCTCAGGTCATGATCCTGGAGTCCCGGGATCGAGTCCCGCATCGGGCTCCCTGCTCGGCAGGGAGTCTGCTTCTCCCTCTGCTTCTCCCCCCTCTCATGTGCTCTCTTTCATTACAAAAAAAATTTAAAAAAAAATAATAAAATAAAAAGATTTAGGGGCGCCTGGGTGGCTCAGTTGTTTAAGCCTCTGCTTTCGGCTCAGGTCATGATTCCAAGGTCTTGGGATCAAGCCCCAGGTGGGGTTCCTTGCTCAGTGTGTGGTGGTGGTGGTGGGGTCTCCTTCTCCTCCCTCTGCCCCTTCTCCCGCTCATGCTCTCTCTCAAATAAATAAATAAATAAAATCTTTTTAAAAAAAAATTAACAATGTGTGCTTCAGAGTGCATCGTTTATCACTCTTGCATCTTCCCTTGAGCTACCCTTAGCTTGAAATGCTCTTTGTCTTCTCCTCAGCTAGGACACGTGTGGGATATATCATCTAAATCATCACATATTCATCGATAGGTTTCTTTTTACTCTGGGAGGCAAAGGGCCTCTTTGCTGAGAGCAGGCTTTTTATTTATTTATTTTTGAAGATTTTATTTACTTATTTTAGAGAGAGAGAGAGTGAGAGAGCACAAGCCTGGGGGAGAGGCAGAGGGAGAGGGAGAAGCAGGCTCCCTGACTGAGCCACCTAGTTGCCCCCCATTCCTTTCTTTCAGTGCACAATGATATTACTCCATGGTCTCCTGCCTTCCCTTGTTGCTGTGGAGTCCTAGTCTAGGGCCAAACAGATACTTTGTCTTTTGTCTGAAAGTATGTAAAATTTCTCTTTATCCTTGCAACTCGGAAAACTAGCCCGCAGAATCTAGGAATAGACGTATTATTTTTCTAATCCTGCCTGAGACTTGCTAAACCTTTTCAAGTTGATGACTTCAGTTTACTTAAACCAGAATTTTTGTTCTTTGTTTTGAGATGTTTCTTGTGCTTGGGACGCCTGGGTGGCTCAATTGGTTAAGCGTCTGCCTTGGGCTCAGGTCATGATCCTGGGGTCCCGGGATCGAGCCCCACATCAGGCTCCCCGCTCATCAAGGAGCTTGCTTTTCCCTCTGTCTGCTGCTCCCCCTGCTTGTGTGCTCTCTCCCTCTCTCTCTGACAAATAAATAAATAAAATCTTAAAAAAAAGAAGAGAGATTTCTTCTGCTTGACCACCACACCATTAATCAGATTCTCAATTTCACCTTTCCTCCCTTTTTATGTTTTCACTGAATAACTTAGCTTCAAAATAATGCTTGTTCAGCCCAGAGAGGCTTGAGTGAGGGCTTATTTATTATTATTTTTTTAATTACTATTAAAGGTATCTTCTGTCTCCTCTAATAAATCAGTGCAGCAGAAGCTAACCCAATTCTGGGTGTTTCTGTGGGCTATTGGGTTTTTTGTTGTTGTTATTGTTGTTTTTGGCTTCTGGGGTGCCTAGGACCATTTCTTTCTTTTTTAGATTCACGTATAATGGACATACAGTGTTATATTAGTATAGACAGTGTATAATATAGTGATTCAACAATTATGTACATTTCTCAGTGCTCATCCAGATTCTAAGACCATTTCTCTGTTTACTCTTGGGTCCATCTGCCCCTGAGGGTACGTCATGCTCTGGAGGTACGTTAAGCGGAGGGAAAGCTGTTTGTGATACTGCGGATGCAGGGCTAGACCTGTGATGAACAAGCAGACAAACCGTTGTTACAGGATTTTTTTCTTCATCAGTGCTCACAGTTCTTGGTCACGCTGCTTCCAAGAATGAAGAGGTGGACCAGACAGAGTGGTGGGTAGCAAAGCAAGGTTTATTGAGCAATAGCAAAATGATAGTACAAAGCTCCCGAGGAGGGAGGGGACCCAAAAGGGTTGCCAACGGAATTTCTAAGTCTAGGGGTTTTTATGGGCTTGTTGGTGGGCTGTTTTAATCTGATTAACCCTCCCTGCGCCTGTCATCCAATTAGGTTTTTGTCACCTATGTATCACATGGGAAAGGCTGGAGGGCTCCTTCCAGGGTGGTGTAAAATCCTTTAAAGGGTGGTTTCCTCTTAGGGTGGGGGAGGGGGGTGCCCCTTGTCCCTGCCTGCCTGCCTTTCAACTATCCTTCATCACCCTGACTCTTTCCTTGGTCAAGCACCAGAGAGGAGCTTCCTGCTTCCTTTCCTTTCACCAGTAAAGTCTGGTGTTTTTTAGGGAAAGAGAGAAGGACGTGCCCTGTTCAGCTGCCCCAGGGTGTCCAGCAGAACTTCTTGGCCCACTTGGAGGCAGATTGGCCAGTCTTGTCTTCTTGAGTGGAGATCTACAGATCTTTTCAAGGCAATCTCTCCCTAAGATCCAATTCTCATCCTACAATTTTCCCCCCATACTTCTCAGAAGCTGGTCTGTTTTTTTTTCTTTATTTATTTGAGAGAGAAAGAGAATGAGCAAGAGAGAGAATGCACATGAGCCAGGGGAGGGGCAGAGAAGCAGACTCCCCGATGAGCAAGGAGCCTGCTATGGGACTTGATTCCAGGACCCTGGGACCTGAGCCAAAGGCAGATGCTTAATTGACTGAGCCACCCAGGCGCCCGCTGGTCTGGTTTTTAACAAGGGTTCCAAGACTATTCAATGAGAAATAATTATCTTTTCAATAAAAAGTGCTGGACAACTGGATAGCCATGAGCAAAAGTAATGAAATACTATGCTTACCTCACACAATATATAAAAATTAACTCAAAATGGATCAAAGACCTAAAGGCAAGAGCTGAAACTATAAAATTCTTAGAAGAAAACTGAAGGGTAAATCTGTAGTACCTTGGATTTGGCAATGCATTCTTAGATATAACGCCAAAAGCACAAGCAATAAATGAAAAAAAAAAAAGCAAACATTGGATTTAATCAGAATTAAAGACTTCTACGCTTGTAGAGACACTATCACACACAGAATGGAGGAAAATATTTGGAAATAATATATCTGATGAGAGACTTATAGCTGGACTACATGAAGAGCTCTTACAACTCAATAATAAACAACACCATTTTTTTTTTTTTAAGATTTTATTTATTTACTTGACAAAGAGACAGCGAGAGAGGGGACACAAGCAGGGGGAGTGGGAGAGGGAGAAGCAGGCTTCCCGCAGAGCAGGGAGCCCGATGCCGGGCTCGATCCCAGGACCCTGGGATCATGACCTGAGCCGAAGGCAGACGCTTAACGACTGAGCCACCGAGGCGCCCCCGTTTTTATTTTCTTCTTCTTTGACAATACACGTGATTCCTCAAAGTCCTATGCTGGAAGAACATTTTGTAACATCGAGTAAAGGAATCAAATTCTTCAAAGGATAATACTGACTTCAAAACCAAGTTATGGGTGCCTGGGTGGCTCAGTCGTTAAGCATCTGCCTTTGGCTTGGCTCATGATCCCAGGGTCCTGGGATGGAGCCCCGCATCGGGCTCCCTGCTCAGCGGGAAGCCTGCTTCTCCCTCTCCCACTCCCCCTGCTTGTGTTCGCTCTCTCGCTGTGTCTGTCAAAATAAATAAATAAAATCTAAAAAAAAAAAAACAAAAACCGAGTTACAGCAAGTGCCATTATCTGCTTCAAGTTGGAACTCCTCTTCCTGTTCAAAAGTTCTGTTGCCCTTTCCAGGAACAGCCTTGGTCATGAAAGGGATAAATTTGCCCTCGATTCTCCTTAAGACACTCGGCAAGTTCCTTCCAACAATGGAATACACCGACAACATTGTAGCTCTTCTTTCACTTGGCATCACCCTCCAATTAAAGTGATTAAAGGGAGCTGACAAGAAATCGGTAGCTTCTACTGGATAAATGACGCCCGTCCGCCCGCCCCCCCAACCCCCCACTTATTCGGGATTTGGCTTTCCAGAGTTTCAGCTCCAGGTAGTCAAGCCCACCGGAAGCAGACGACCCACCCGACGTGAGTCCGAAGGTCAACGGGAGCCTAACGCTGCGTCAGTGACGTCACAGCGCCTGCGTCCTTCCCTACGTCATCTTACCAGGCGGGCCTCCTACCCTCTCACACGATCGCAAGAAGGGTGAGTAGAGTACAATAAGGTATTTTGAGACAGAGACCGCATTTCCGTAACTTTTATTATAGTATATTGCTATCATTATTCTATTTTATTAGTAGTTATTGCTGTTAACCTCTTACTGTGCCTGACTTATGAATTAAACTTTATCGTGCGTATGTAGGTAGAGGAAAAACATTGGATCCGGTACTATTTGGGGTTTCAGACTGGAGTTCTTGCCATGTATCCCCTGTGATGGGGGGGGAGGGGGCTGCTGTATTAAAACTCAACCAGAGGGGCGCCTGGGTGGCTCAGTTGGTTAAGCGACTGCCTTCGGCTCAGGTCATGATCCTGGAGTCCCGGGATCGAGTCCCGCATCGGGCTCCCTGCTCGGCGGGGAGTCTGCTTCTCCCTCTGACCCTCTTCCCTCTTGTGCTCTCTGTCTCTCATTCTCTCTCTCAAATAAATAAATAAAATCTTAAAAAAAAAAATAAAGAGCAATTAAGAAACCAATGATTAAAAGAGGTTAATCTTATCATCTTTGTTTCAAAAACACTAGTAATATATCTTCATCAAATTTTTCCAGATTATGACAATACCTTAGCCAATTTCAGTTGCATTAAGAGGTAACTGATGTTAATGATATATTCTATTCAATTAAGAAAATAAACGGTGAGGGCGCCTGGGTGGCTCAGTTGGTTGGGCGACTGCCTTCGGCTCAGGTCATGATCCTGGAGTCCCGGGATCGAGTCCCGCATCGGGCTCCCTGCTCGGCAGGGGGTCTGCTTCTCCCTCTGACCCTCCTCCCTCTCATGCTCTCTGTCTCTCATTCTCTCTGTCTCAAATAAAAAATAAATAAAATCTTAAAAAAAAAAAAAAAAACTCAACCAGAAAGTAGGATTCCTTTTCTTCATAATTAAAGTATGATGTTATAATTCAAGTGATAAACTGAGAATTCCTTCACATGTGTTTGTTAGAGAGCCAGTAGCTGTTTTGAGAGATTTAAATAATGCCAACAAAGTCATAGTATCTTTAATTGCTCAGTACAAAGAGTATAATGCTGCTCACAGCATTAGTATAAATGCTGAGGTAAGAGAACAGTTTCATAACAGTGCCATGATAGTGTCATTAGAAAGAACATCACGTGCTATTCGAGCGGCATTATGCAGAATATGAGCAAGACAGCCAGTGCTTTCTATGGAATATATCTGTGCTTTTCTTCAACTGTGAATAAACTTTTTCTGCACCTTTGCCCAAACAACTGCATGGTCTACATCAAAAGCAATACAATGGGGCGCCTGGGTGGCTCAGTCGTTGAGTGTCTGCCTTTGGCTCAGGTCATGGTCCCAGGGTCCTGGGATCGAGTCCCACATCGGGCTCCCTGCTCGGCAGGAAGCCTGCTTCTCCCTCTCCCACTCCCCCTGCTTGTGTTCCTGCTCTCGCTATCTCTCTCTCTGTCAAATAAATAAATAAAATCTTTAAAAAAAAAAAAGGCAATACAATATATCTCATTAACTCCTGGCTTATAAGAGTCTAGGTTAAAATTTGCTACTATTTCTGAAGTCTCCTCTAGAAGGGGTTTTGTTCACAAAGCCCTTTAGGCAAGCTTCTTGCACAAGAAAAATATTGTGCAAGCAAAAGAAAAATGTTTTCTGATTGTGGTCATTTGCATCCGTGTCTGTGCTGCAAAAAGATGAGGCATTTAGATCTTTGATAACCTGTAGTAATGAACACGGTTATTACACTTTTTATTATTGCTGTAGATTTTTAAAAAATTTTATTTTATTTTATTATGTTATGTTAGTCCTGTTATGTTTGTCCTGGCGCTTGAATATTTGCTCGCAGTTTTGAAATCAGACAATACTTCTCATAGCAGTACATTTAAAGACTCTTTCAAGCTGACAGTGGAAGGCCGTTACAACCCCTGCTATGATTATTTTATCCTCACCTGAATTCCACTAAATAAAAAAAAATGTCATTTTATCATTTTCTTTGGTACTAATTGAGGAAATCATCCATGTCTTATGCTCAGCTGCTAGTATATGCTGCTTTATATCTAACAGTTTTTATATTGAATGAACAATGGAATATTATATAAAAAGCTTCAAAGGACTTTTACTTTCTCATTTAGTAAGTGTCCACTGGGGCGCCTGGGTGGCTCAGTTGGTTAAGTGTCTGCCTTCAGCTCAGGTCATGATCAAGTCCCACATCAGGCTTGCTACTCAGCGGGGAGCCTGTTTCTTCCTCTCCTTCTGCCCTTCCCCCAGCTCGTTCTCTCTGTCTCTCATTCTCTCAAATAAATAAATAAAATCTTTAAAAAAAATAGTGTCCACAGTTCAGAAACTCATCATAAAATGTTTGTGTTTTGGTATTTGGAGTTTCAAATATATGCAAATGAGACATCACCAATTTACTATTAATAATCACTGCAAAATTTGAAGACTGGATTTGGTGATCTTATGGCCATATCAGTGCCATCGGTCACTCACAAATCTGAACTCATAACGACCTGTAAACAGAGCTGAAGGGTTGCAAGCTTGCCAACTAACAATAAATTGAACTTACTGACCTCTGATGCAGAAAAGGTAAACTTTCTGTTTGCCTATGAGGGAGAGTTGGCCTTTGAATGACATGGGTTGGAACTACATGTGTCCATTTACACGCAGATTTTTAAAGATAAATATGGTACAGTACTGTAAACGTATTTTCTCTTCCTTGTGGTTTTCTTTCTTTTTTTAAAGATTTTATTTTTAAGTAATCTCTATACCCAACATGGGGCTTGAACTTACAACCGCGAGATCAAGAGTCCCACACTCTTCTGACTGAGCCAGCCACATGCCCCCTTTATAGTTTTCTTAATATTTTTTCTCTAACTTATTTTTTGTAAGATTACAGCATATAGTATACATAACATAAAAATATGTGCTAAGCAACTGTTAATGTTTTTTAATTTAAATTCAGTCAATTAACATATAACGAATTGTTGGTTTCAGAGGTAGAGGTGAGTGATTCATCCGCCTTATACAACACCCAGTGCTCATTCCATCACGTGCCCTCCTTACTGCCCATTACCCAGTTACCCCATCCCCCCATCCCCTCTGTTTATGTTAACAGTAAAGCTTCTGGTCAACAGTAGGCTATTAGCCGTTAGTTTTTAGGGAGTCAAAAGTTTTATACAGATTTTTAACTGCAGGGTCAGCGCCCCTAACCCCTAGATTGTTCAGATGTCAGCTGTGCTTGTAAAGACACTGTTTCCTTGAAAACGCCAGAGTTGATCCTACATAAGGTTTTGAGAAGCTTGGCATTCAGGGAATGGGGGGCTTTGAGAAGCGGGAATGTGTAGACGGAGGATTTTCAGCTGTGTTAGTGTGGTCACTGGAGGAAGGCTGTTGCTGACCAGCTAACCATGACCATTCGGAGCATGGCTCCTGGAGTGAGGTCCTTTCTAAATGGCTCTTGTGGAGAAGCATGGGCTGTCACAGATTGCTGACTTTCAGGATGGGGTGGGGGTGCTTATCACTGAACGGCTTTCAGAAGCTTGGGGCTGTTACTGAGTTGCTCACTTTTAGACACTTGGAGTAAGGCTGTTAACTGGCTGCTTTCCAGAAGCAGGGCCAGAGGAGTGAGGCTCTGGCTGTTTGGCTGATTTTCAGAGCATGTGCACTGATACAAAGTTAACTTGAATTAACAGTGCTTACTTGTTCACAGCTTGGGAATTTGGTTGAAGAACAGTCTTTTCTTGAGTATGAAAAATCCTTTTAATTCCGAGGTCCCCCGGTTGGTCTCCCTGCAGCCAAAGCTGCAGGAGAGACAATAAGAAATTGTTCACATGTTTGAAGACGTATGGTTTTCAGCTGGTATTGCCATGTGAGTGATGTAGGCACCAATTACTGTGGCAGAAAAATAGCTCTAACTGCTGAATTTTGTAATTTCTTAAAGCTGAATACAGGGCACTGAAGGTGTCATGACAAATATAGGACACAGGACAACATAATTAAGTATGGGGCATGTCCTATATATATAGGATAACTGGCAACCCCACCTAAATATAATATTCTAGCTATAACAAACATTAAACATTTTATATAACAGTAAAAAGACTTGTTTTCCAAAATTTTAAAATTTTAAAAAATATATCATCTGAATGGCCTGGGTTTCTTTAAAAACATAAATTATATTGAGCGTGTATCTTTTTTTTTTCCTCTCTCATTTAATCTCCCCGAACTATACAGAGATATTTAAGATCTATTCGGTAAAAGGAGGTGCTTAGTTTTCCTTTTTGTTGATGATGGCAATAATTTCCCACTAAAAGATTCTGAAAATGAAGTCTGACTTTGCATATAGCCCTTTTGCTTTTGCTTACCTCTTTGCTTTATTCAAAACTATGACTCTGCCCTCTCTGTGACATCAATAAATACCCCAGGAATGTGATTAAGGGATAGTGTTGCCTTTTTAAAAAGTAAGTCGAGGAACAGTTGTGGTTTAATGGAAATCTGTTATAAGTAATTTTGTGAGATGTAACTATAGTTCCAGGAACCTGCAAGCCCATTCAGCGGATGCAATGGAGCAAAGGGAGGTCATTTTTTTTTTTTTTTAAGATTTTATTTATTTATTTGAGAGAGAGAGAATGAGAGAGAGCAAGCACATGAGAGGGGGGAGGGCCAGAGGGAGAAGCAGACTCCCTGCCAAGCAGGGAGCCCGATGCGGGACTCGATCCCGGGACTCCAGGATCATGACCTGAGCCGAAGGCAGTCGCTTAACCAACTGAGCCACCCAGGCGCCCCGAGGTCATGGTTATTAATTAGGGAATCCTGTGCAGAATGGTTGGGCAGGTTGGCCCTTCCCCTTTTCCCCATTTACACAAAGCAATGGCAGCAGATCTTGACCCCACGATGGACCCTAGGTCTGAAACAGTGGAGCAGTGCCCCGCACAGCTGCTGACTCATGAGAGGGATAGGAAGGACTCTCACACAGAAGACACCTGTTGGAACACCTCCTCCAGCCACATGTCCTGCCCCACCCCACAA